AAAAAAAAAAGGCAAGAACGTAAATCCATAGTGTTAGAGGAATAGAATTAAAGTTAAATGGAGAAAATTCTATTGAATAACCTTTCAATTGCTTAATTGCTATTTAATTTACTTGCTTTCTTTGTTCTTTCAATGGAAAGCGACCGATATTAGAGCGGAATGAATGGTGAATGGTGTATGGTGTTTAAATTGAAATATTTTTTATTGAAAAAAGCGAAGAGTGTGAAATAGAAAGAAAATATTTTTTAATGTACTTAGCGCGTTACAATTGAAGCGAATTGAGAAACCTATCTTGTGTCTTTCAACGACTTTTAAACATCATCCATCATCCGTTATCCGTCAGCAAACCTGAACAACTCTGAAAACCTTTCAAGTTTTCATTATACACAACTTTTAATTTTTATTGTCACAAGTCCTTGTTGTAAAATTTCTTATTTAGTCTTATTTATTTAATAATTATCTAAATATTCATGCAAAGCGCCTTCCATGTGCAAAGATCTAATAGTAGAAAGGCTTTCAATATCAAAAACGGCCATGGATGTACATCTAGTCATAAACACAATTAAGTGGTGAACAATTTGAGAATTCGTGCAAGACAAGAAACAATTTTAGCATTCTTGACTTAGGTGGTTTTGGTGTTTAGTCTTGCAAGAAAAGAAAGGCCACATTCGCTGAATTAAAATTAAAAAAGTACTTTGCTAAATGTCTGGAATTTGTCTTGAGTAACTTCTGATCAATTAAGCATTACTTGCATTCTCTTTCCAGCTTAGTCCGCATGGATTGGCCTATTATTGAAGGCGTAGAATACATGATAACATAAAAAGTGATAGCTTTAGCTTAGCTTTAGCTTATTGTTTATAAGTAAAATTTTTTAAACGAGGCTTAAGAGTATAGTTAAACCGATTTGGGATTTGTGGATAGACAGGTGCATAATATAAACCATGTTTTCGAATGTTACGGGGCATATAGACGCAATCTGCAGTCAAAGAAGCAACCAAATGTTCTTGACCTCCAAGCTTAGTTGTAATTTTGCATTCAAATATTCTTCTAGGTACAATTTCCTTTATATGTGGCATACTAAATACTTATCAATAAGAGATTCAAAATTTTGACCAATTCTAAAATTAAAGTGAATAGCCCTGTATAAACTTTATTTCATCTCATATCTCATATAGACGCCAATTAGGTAAAGGTTTCATATTAAAAATGATACCTAAAAGCATGCAAGAATAGGATTTATAAGTTATTCACAAAAAGTAGGCAATAAAATTTTTAATTTTTCTCTTTTTTTTTTCTTTTTTTGGAGTAAGTGAAAATGGAAAACTGCTGACTGCTTTTATTAAGATTAATAGAAATTTTAATCATATCATCCTTTTTGCTATTCCAAGGACAATTCTTAATACACAAATTTTTACTTTAGTTTCTCATGCATTTAAAATATATTTTTCATATGAGTTCTCACTTTTTTTTATTTCTTCTCTATAGGGATTTCATTTCCATTACAAGGCCATAAATCTCAATAATTTTAATACTAAGTTCTACTGCGAAAAATTGCAGCTTTAAATGGTGACTTTAGTTAAAAATACATATATATATACATATATATATGCCGCACACACATTTGAATTAGTTAGCATCGCATTGCTAATACTCGCACCATTAAGATCACTTTATATGATAAGACGTAGAATTTATGAGATATTTAAAATAAAATGACAACAAATGTTCATAAAATTTTATAAATGCTGATAAAATATA